TCATTAAGTGTTGTATTTGGGGGCACTTAATTCAAAGCTATGAAGGTTAAGGGAAAGAATCACTATTGTGGGATGGACATCTTGATTGATACTGGTAGTACTCATAATTTTTTAGATATCAGATTTACCAAGCATATAAAATGTGAGATGGATAAGATAAATCCAGTGACTATCAAAGTTGCTAGAGGAACTTAAATTATGTGTGATTTGGTTTGTGAAGTTTTTAAATGGAAAATGCAGAATAAATGTTTTAACATAAGAGTTTTTATGTTACCACTCAGAATATACGATATGATATTAGGTATTGAATGGTTATATGGATTGGAGGGTATAATCTAGAATTTTAAGATGCTATGGATGAAATTCTTTTAGGAAGGTCAGATGCTGCTGTTGAAGGGTAAGTCTGTTAAGACTTCTGATTCGTATGAAGAGAAGGAGGTGGACAAAACTATTTGTCATCAGAAGCAAACTAATTGGCTCGAGCTAAACCAAGTAGTGATTAATTGTGAAGATGGAATGGAGTTACCTTAAGTGGAAGTCACTAACACAGTACCTGTAGAATTACAGAAGGTACTAGAAGAATTCTCAGATGTGTTTGAGGAGCCAAAAGGACTGCCTCTTAAATGAGATCATGATCACAAGATTGTTTTGAAGGCAGGAGGAGTGCCAGTTAGTATGAAGCCTTACAGATACCCTTCTGTTTAGAAGGATATCATAGAGAAAATGGTTTAGGAGATGCTAGACACTGGGATTATTAGAACCAGCACCAGTCTCTTCTCTTCTCCAATGGTTTTGGTTAAAAAAGAAAGATGCATCTTGGCGAATGTGTGTGGATTACAGAAGAGTGAATCAACTCACCATTAGAGATTAGTTTCCTATTCCAGTTATTGAGGAACTTCTTAAGGAATTGCATGGGTCTGTAGTGTTTTTCAAGCTGTATTTAAGGGTAGGATATCACCAAATTAGACTTTTTGAACCTGACATATACAAAACTACTTTCAAAACTCATAATGACCATTATGAATATCTTGTCATGCTATTTGGCCTTACAAATGCCCCTAGTACTTTTCAAAGTCTTATGAACATATTTTCCAGCCTTTCTTGCGAAAATTTATCTTAGTTTTCTTTGATAATATTCTTATTTATAGTAAAACTTTAAAAGATCATGAAGACCATTTATGAAAAACTCTTTCCTTTCTTCGCCGAAATGTATTATTTGCAAAGAGATCCAAATGCACTTTTGGTACCCCAAAAGTGGAATACTTGGGCTACTTTATCTCTGCTGTATGTGTTCAAAATGATGATAAGAAAATTATAACGGTTCAAGCTTGGCCTCAACCTAAGAATCTAAAACAACTCAAGGGATTCTTAGGCTTAACAGGCTATTATAAAAGGTTTGTTCAGGGGTATGATAAGCTAGCCAAACCACTCACTGACCTCTTGAAGAAGGATGCTTTCTGTTGGACTTCACAGGCTCAGCTTGCATTCCAGCAGTTAAAGGAAGCTATGACCAATACCCTTGTCTTAGCATTACCTGACATGGTTGAGGAATTTATAGTTGAAATTGATGCATCAGGAGCAAGTATTGGGGTAGTATTGACGCAACAAGGCCATCATATAGCATATATTAGCAAGGTATTATCTCCAAAACACCAGGTTTTGTCTGTTTATGAGAAGGAACTCTTTGTAATATTATTTGCAATTAAAAAGTGGCACCAGTACCAATCAGTAAAGCATTTTATTATAAGGACAGATCATTAAAGCCTTAAAAATTTGCTAGAATAAAGATTACATACTGCTTCATAACTTACTTGGTTGGTGAAGTTAATGGGCTATCATTATGATATAGTGTGCAAAAAGGGTAGAGAAAATAAGGTTGCAGATGCACTATCTCGAGTGACCAGTGTTGAATTATCTACTATGGTCATTTCCTCTGTTTCCATAAATATCTTACTAAAGTAGTCTCTTCATTGTACCAAGACCCTTCTCTGAAGGCTCTCATTGATCAACTTAAATTGGATGCTTCGGCTCATCCTAAATATCAGTGGGATCATGACAGATTAATGAGAAAAAAGGTAAAATGGTGGTTGGAGCTGATGAAAGTTTGTGATCACAGTTGATTTTCTTGTTTTATGACACTACTATAGGGGGCCATTCTGGTGCTGAAGTCACTAAAAAGAAAGTAGTTGTGGTTTTCTATTGGAAAGGGTTATCAAGGGTTGTTAGGAACTATGTTTGTAATTGTCCTATCTGCCAGCAGAGTAACTATGAAACCACTGCAAATCCAGGTCTGTTAAATCCATTACTAATTCCACAAGCAATCTTCACTGATGTTACTACGGATTTTATAGATGGTTTACCAATCTTCCATGGCAAGAGTGTGATCATGGTGGTGGTGGATCGTTTGGCTAAATACAGCCATTTTATTGCCCTTGCTCATCCATATACTGCACAATCTATTGCTCAAGCTTTCCTGGACCATGTTTTCAAGCTACATGGTTTACCTCTCACCATTGTCTCTGATAGAGATTCGGTTTTCTTGAGCAAATTTTGGAGAGAATTGTTTGCATTACATGGGGTTTCATTACACTTTTCTACTGCCTATCATCTACAATCAGATGGCCAATCAGAAGTGGTTAATTGATGTCTTCAGACCTATTTACGTTGCATGACATCTTCGTTTCCAAAGAACTGGGCTAGATGGTTATCCTTGGCTGAATTTTGGTATAACACCAACTGTCACTCTACTATTAGGATGTCTTTATTTGAGGCTTTATATGGTTATGCACCCTCTTTGCATCTGCCATACTTTCTTAAAGACTTTAAGGTTGAGGCAGTGGATCAGTTTTTGCAAGATAAAGAGGCTGTTCTGGAATTACTTAAGTTCCACCTTCAAGAGGCTCAACGAAGGATGAAGAGCTTGGCTGATAAGCGTCGCACTGAGAGGGTATTTTAGTTGGAAGATTAGGTTTATCTCAAATTGCAAGCTTATAGACAAGGCTCAATGGCTCATCGCAATAACCACAAGTTGTCGGCTCGATTTTATAGGCCTTTCAAGGTTGTGGATAAAGTGGGAGAAGTCGCATACACACTGGACCTCTAGTCATGTGCAAATTCATCCAACCTTTCATGTTTCTTAGTTGAAACCAGTTCGAGGCAATCTTCCTAGTCATGTTTCACTGACAGTTACTTCTGATGTTACTCCATATCCTCTAGCCATTCTTGACAGAAAAACGGTTAAGAGAGGTAATGTTGCAGCAACCAAACTTCTGATTCATTGGTCCCACAACTCACCTGCTGATGCTCCGTGGGAATTTGCTTTTGATTTGTAGCAAAAATATCACACTTTAACATTAAGGACAAGGTTTTTTTAACGAGGAGGTATTGTTACAGCATGAATTAGCGCAGAATAGGAAATAAGGCAGAGGAGATGATGACATGTCAAGCTATTACATCAAAGAGAGAAGGAGATGACATGGGGACTGACATGGCAAGAATCACTACATCTGGTGGCGAAGAGAGGAAGTTAGCAATGCCAGTCAGTTTAACTAATCGTGACGTGGAGAAGAAGTTGGCAATGACATTAGTAGAACAACTAGAAATGCAGCAATGAAGATTAACCAACAACTAGCATAACAGATTCAATTAGTTGTTAGGGAATCAGTTACATTGTAGGAGGCTATTGAAGGAGAAGAAAGAGAATGGAGGAATTAACTTGGATCATTTTGTAAAATTCTCGTCCTCTCTGATCTCAACTCCTCTATGTTTTCTCTCTTAAAACTTTGTAAACAATCGTCCATTACATTTTTCATTGTATTTTCTCTGCATACGTTTTACATTCACTTGAATAATACCACAGATCTTGCAATTCTTCTCGAGTTCTTCCTCTGGAATTTTAAGCTGTATCACTCAACCTCTAGCAGTAATTGACAAATGTATTATCAAAAAGAGGAACAAGGCTGTCGTCCAATAGCTGATTCATTGGCGAGACCTGTCACCAGCAGAAGCTATTTGAGAATTCGCCGAAGAGATCAACATACGCTTTTCAGCATTCTCTCTCGAGGAAGGGCCTAAATTAGGAGAAGAAACCTAACTGAATTGAGAATTAAGGATTTGCTAGTTATATGAAAATGAGTTGGTTAATATTTGGGCCGACTTTTGGGTTAATGACACTGTGGACTTCAATTTTATCTGGACTTGGATCATTAATGTTAACATAGGCTTGTTCGGCTGTTATTAGTCAAAATCAGTTATGACTAGTGTAAGAGTAAATAAAAAGAATACTCAAATGATAAAATCATGATAAGCTGATAACAGAATGTCTCCTTCCTCTCCGATCATAACAGAATTTGCCTCCTTCCTACCTCTTTCGTTGTCTTTTTCCTCTGCTTTATATCCTAACACAACCTCTGCTCGTCTTCTGATTGGTTTGAGGGATGAAAAGACAAGGCAATGACCAATGCACATGCCATAACCACATATTACATAAAGATTGCAAAAAATTAGGTTTTCACTGGCAAGAGAATACGATTAGCAACATTTGCATGTTCTAAGGAAGAACAATGAATCAGATGCAGGATCAATAAAAATGGTGAAGGGTTGACATAATTTGTAAGCATGATCCAACAGTCGAACCATTCTTTCATTGCAATTTTCATAGTTGCTTTAAAATTTGGGCTTCTATCATAGGCATAAAGCACCAAAATGTGAAAACCTATTTTCATTGTTATTTTTGTTAAGTAAAAGAATTGCTGCATATAATTAAATAATTCAACCATATCCAGAGCTTCAAGACTAATAGAAACCATAATTACAAAAAATATGGCTTCTTTTCTCTAGTTCAGACCCAGAAAGGGCACAGCAACGCCAGAGGTACATCATGCACTCAGAACCACTAAACTTGTCCACCACCCAGAGACCAAAACGCATGTCTTCACATGGTGGCAGAAATTGATGCCAAGGATATACAACTCTCTAGCAACCAAAAAACTCGCAAATAATCAGCTCTGTTGCTCACTATTGCTTGACCTTCGATATGGCATATATATGTGGTCCTTCGCAGCATTCTTTCTCCTCCTTTTCTCGATGAAGGATTCAAGCTTGCCAGATGCCTAATCATGTTAAAAGATAGGCTTGTTAGCTAAACCATATAACTGACGAATTGAGTTGCCATATCTTATAGTCTCAAGTCATAGCATTTTTTTCATCCGAAAACATACCTTGAGTTTGTTGTATTTTTCAATAAGCCTTTGTTTCCGTACTTCGGCTGCAAAAACACAAATCAAGTTAGCATTCATGTACACTGTTCGAATGCTGGTTGGTTCGTTCATATAGGCACCATTTAGAAATAACTGACAAATGGACGAGATAACTGAACTGTCCACCACACATGCAAACTGGCATCCCTATCAAGAATTACAGATTCTTATAATACCTGGCTTTTGCCTCACATACTATTATATCCAACACAGATCCACTACTCTCAACCTTGTGTGCACTGTCACTATTGCCCATAGGATCCACCACAAAAACCCACTAAACCATCAGTCCTATAAAAAGCTCCATGCATTCTGGTTCAATATTCTAAGTACAATTTGATTTGCAAGCGCTTCCCAAACACAGATACTTCTCAATCAACAGTTAAAATATTCAAATGCCATTCTCAAGACATAAATTAGGAATAACCAATTTAATTGCTATCTCAGGATATGAGCAGTGCTTAAGGATCCATTCCATTCTTATTGACAAATAATAAAGCAGCAAGTGGGAGATCAAAATCTTCAGGAAAACATGGAGTATACTTATAAATGGTGCACAGAAAATGATGCAGCACAGAGGGAAAGAGGTGTAGAATACATTTTTTAAGATAAAAGGGTCGTTTTCCTTGCTTTGCAGCTTCTCTCTCTTTCTTCTTGTGCTCAGTCACTATAGCAGCATCGCTCTGCTTTGCTGACTCAAACTTTAACTGCTTGTCCTGTTAAAACTACGAGAAGATGATAAGGATGGACCAAACAAATAAATCAATTGACCAGACAATGGTCAGATATAGAGTAACAGTTTCATCCAACATGGCATGTACTTACAATCCAAGATATGCGCTCCTTCAATTGATCAATGACTATCAGATCATTGGATTTCTTCAGTTGCTTCTTTAGTTCCTTCATATCCAAAGAAGTCGTTTTTAGGGGAAAGAAAATTAAGATTTAGGTACAAACAGTAAGGAAAATAATTGTCATTGATAGATTTACAGAAATCACCTCTTTTTCAGCAGGAAGATTATTCTCAAACAGAAAGTCGTATCTTTTTCTAAACCTGCAAAAACTCCAAAAAAAACTATAAATTACACAACCACGAAGGATAAAGAAAGTATTCACCATTCTCTTTATCAAATTTATCCACGTGTAAAAGATTTTCAGCAAAAGCACGGGTTACGCAATAATCTTCCACATAAGTCTTTTATAAACATCCTTTGATATGACATGAAAACAATAAGAATGCTGAAGGACAAGGTCCCGCGATTTATAAACAATTTGAAATAAGGTTGAAAATTTAGGGAAAAACTGGAGCAATATTCTGAACGCACTTCAAGCCCAGAAGAGTGAGCCCCAAACGAGCATGACCTTGTTTAAAAATGTCAATAAACTAGCAGACTGATAACACTAAAAGGCAGAAAGATCATGTTTTGGACTCCAGAGGGGTATGGCCTCGTCTAACGAATTCAATAAAATAGCAAACAGAGAACACTAAAACCAGACAGATCAGTGTTTTGGACCCCTAAGGGGTATGGCCTCACTTAAAAAGCTCAATAAAATAGTAGGCTAAGAACACTTCAGGGAGATAGATCAGTGTCTAGGACAACCATCCATCCATTCCAATCAAAATTATCTGTCCTAACAATATGGGGAACAAAGGATTAATAATAAAAAGGTTATCAATCAGAATAGCTTCAATACGTTTACACAAAGTTGCCACAAAGCCATTACAGGAACACTGTACCATAAAACAAGCACACAGCATATTTAATGAAGGATAAAGAAAGACAACTGAGACATACCCCTCAACATCAAGATTGCCACACAAAGACTCAAAGCGGGGATCACGTACTACCTGTAAACAGAAATACCAAATTGAATGCATCAAATCTCCACATCACATGGCTATAAAAGAATGATAAGACTGTTTGGAAATATTGATATCTATGCATGTTGAATTTTACCAAGAGCATAGAGCACCTGGAAGAGGCTTTGGGTCTATCAAGTCAAGTTTACTGAAAATTATAGGCTTTACTGAAGAAGTTATTTTGTTAAAGCACGAGTAATGACTGAGTGGAATGGTTTCTTGTTATTTTTGTTTTTCTAATGGCATCAGCTATCCTGAGTCAGGGTGAGATGAGAAGGGTTACATTGATCTTGTGTCTGTGAAAAACTAAGACTTTGTTTTTAACAAAATCTTCATTCTTTTCTTTCAAGCTTGAAGTAGCCCTGCTTCTCATAGTTTACATAGCATATGGGTACACAATGGGAGGTGCTGTTTCTTTTGTTTTATTGACCCTTGGCAGTTGGTTTCTTGTCATATCATGGGCTTTTGCTCCTTTCATATTTAATCCCTTGAGTTTTGACTGGCACTAGTAAGCTTCTTATTCCTTTGTATTTGACTCCTGAAGTTTTTAATTTCGGAGTGGAAGTGAGCATGTCACACACTTTGCATTTGGCTCATGAAGTTTTTAATTTCGAATTGGAAGTGAGCATGCCACCCACTTCTAGAACTATTATGTTTTTGTAAGAACTAAGCTCTCTTGTAGCTTCCAGTTATTTTCCAGCAAAATTCCAACAAATCAAATACTTACCAGTAAGGGTAATAAACCAAAACCAAATCTATAAGTTTACAGTGTCAATAAAACTGAGCACTACGGCATACTCATCATGCTTTATAACACACTGTGATGATGAATTGAAACAAGAAAATTTAAAGCATACCTTTTTAGGAACTTGAACAACCTCTCGAAACCGAGTCACCGGCTTCTTGCAGCTCACCTCCGTGGGCCTACACACAGAAGCACCACAGTCGCAAATTATCAACCAACAAGCCCAATATGAGAACTAAAACACACAAAAAAATTCAGAATAAGAATACCTATTCTTGTTAGCTCTGCCGCCCTTCTTCTCCTGGTCAGGCTTTTTATAAACTGAAAGAGACCCATTAGACTTTGCTTTTTGAAGATCCTCAAAAGTAACTTCTGCTAGCTCTCTCTCTATCTCACTGTCCTATTCCAATCAAAACCCAATACGTAAAAATGATTTAATTCAACTCAAACTGAACAATTAGGTTTAGGGTTTGTAATGAATACTCACATCTTCCTCTGAAGAAGATGATAATTCTTGCTCATCCTTCTCCTCCTCCTCTTCGCTTTCCACATCATGGGTTTTGCTTGACATCCCAAATTCATTATTGGGTTTCTTCTTCATTTTGATCTTCAAAGCCAAAAAGAAAGAATTAGTTCAGAACTTTCAATCCGTCTGTGAAAGAGAATAAACATAAACAGCCTAAACCCTAGGAACCGCTTGGGCAGTAGACGACATGCTGCCTGTTTTACGGAGACTAGAGACGACGTAAAAAACATATATGGACTCAGCCTAAGGTCACTAATGAACGCAGGCCCTATCCAATACATTTGGGTTGGACCCGAATTGCTGCTTGAGCAGCCTTTTCCACGCGGAAAAAGGTAAAATAGCAAGTAATGTTAACATCTATATAATAATGGATATATGGATTTTATCGTTTTTTTTTAAAAAAAATTGCTATCCATCGATTAAACCCTCAATCGTTACCCTGTTACCAAAATTAATGAAAGGTGCTTTATATTCTGTAAACTTCAATTTTTTTTTCTAAAAATATAAATAGTTTTCGATCCATTTTTGTCATTTAATTCATTATATATATATATATATATATATATATATATATATATATATATATCTTTCAAAGTAAATTTAATATATATATATATTATGTCACATTTCTAATATTCTTTCAAAGTAAATTTAATATATATATATATTAAATTTACTTTGAAAGAATATAAGAAATGTGACATTCAATTAAAAAAAAAACTATAAAGCAAAATTTGCTACAATACTTTAATAATAGGCTTTTTGTATATTGAGACTCTGTATAATTTGAATTTTTTTTATTAAGACTTTAAATTTTTTTTCTGTCCAATTTAAGAGTTCTACTCTTATGTTGTTGTTGTTGTAGACCACGATGTACCATGTAAGCAAATGTGACAAGTTCTAACAAATGACAACTTGTCACGTGTCATGATCGGCCCAAATCTAGTTTTATAAAAAATAATGATAAAGTTTAAATAACTTAACAAGTAATAAACCTAAAAATAAGTTATGAAAATACTTTTCTACTTTTACCCACTAAACAAAATTTCTCTCCCCTCTTTACCCATTCGTTTCGAGTTTTTCTTTTCTCTTTCTCCTTCTCTCGATTACAATCGACAATTAACCGTCAATCCTCATTTCCTCAATTTCCCTCTCCTTGCCCCCTCTCTTCCTATATTTGTTTCAGCTTTTTCTTTTCGCTTTCTCCTCCTTCGATTACAACCAACAATCGATTGTCAATCCTCATTTCCTTAATTTCCACCCTCCTCTCTCCTCATTCATTTCAGCTTTTTCTTTTCTCTTTCTCTTCCTTCGATTGCAATCAGCAATCAACTATCAATCTTGATTTCCTCAATTTTCCACCGATTGTAAACCCTAATCCTCATTTCCATTTAACTATTTCTCCTTCGTTGTGTTTTTTAATCCCTAATTTCTAAATCGTGATTCTAAAAAGAATGACTTCGTGTCATTGGTATCCTCTTCATCTTTTAAGCCTTCATCGATTTTCCTTTTCTTTTTCCTTCTTCTTTGACTCGCAATTAACTTACAATCCCTAATTCCTAAATCTCAATCCCTCATACCCAATCCTTAATTTCTCAATTATAAACCCCGATCATCATACCCTCTTAACCCTTCCTCTCTCTTTCTCCTTCGTCTGTGCTTTTCTAATCCTTAATTCCCAAATCAAAATTCCGGAAAAGAATGATTTTTTCATTGACATCCTCTTTCTCTTCTAAGCATTCATCAATTTGTGCTCTCAACGATGAAGAATTACAATGGGATAAGAAAAAACCTATAATTTCATGTTACTATGCCATGAAAGCAAGGTAGTGTCTTGAAGTGATGACTATGCAAGTATAAAGTATTATGTTTATGCACTTCAATTCAAAGCTAAAGGCATAAAAGATGTTGGGTGCAATTTTAAAATGTGGTTCCGGGATGAGTTAGATGGTAGAGCTAAAAAAATTATTTTGGGTTTACAAAATTACCATCAAGAAATACATGTTGAGAACTCAAGATTAATTTCAAATAATGTTAAAATAAATAAAGAAATTACTATGTTAAGAAGTGAGAATGAAGAATTGTTGATTGAATTGAAGACTGTGAGAATTAAGAATAGTGTTTACAATAAGCAAAAACGAAGGAGAAAGAGGTTCTACTATTAGAGATTGAAGATCCGAAATTGAGTTATGTTGATTTAATATTATTTAAATATAGAGTTAGTAATGCTCACAAGCTATCTTGTATAATGATTGTCATTATGATTGTAAAATTTTAGGCTTGATTATATGAAATAAAAGCAATTCCTTACCTTATGATTGTATTCTAGAACTATAATTTGCAATGTTATGTGTATTTTGTAAGTACTCGTCGGTGGTTGGGCAATTATTTTTTTACTTGTATAGAATATGTATGTTTTTAAGTTGGTAAAATAAGCATGTTTTTTCATTCCAGGTTGTTTTGACAAACTTTTAAAATATGCGAGATTCAATCAAGTGAAGCAATTGTTGTTTCTTACAAATTGTCAATATGTGCGGATTGTATTTTAAAACATCATAAGGTGAAAAATTACATGTTCTTAACTATTAAACATTCTTTATGAACTTATGACATATTACATGTTCTTTAGCAATATCCACAAAATTAATAACACCAAGTTAATATTACATGTTCTTTTTCCCAATACCTACTCTTGTGGCGCTCCTATTTTGAGAGTTTGATCTAGTCACCATCCTTTTTTTTTTTTTTTTCCAAAACTCCCGAGCAATCTTCTCCTTGTTATTCCGTCATGTTCTATTAGCATCATTTTTTTTTTACTATGTCCATCCTTCTTTTCCTTTTGTTTACCCATCTTATTCATAGGACCATCATCATTTTTTTCCTCTTCGTAGATGCAGCTCCAATCTTCTGCTTTCCCTTTCTTTAAAATCAAATAAACAATTTCAAATAAATAAATAATTGGTTCCACCAATTCTAGAACCAATTTTACAACTAATTCGATTTCCAATTTAAAAAATATATATTATTTATACCCGACCAATGGTGATAGGTTCCACCATAATAAAATCAATTTCGAAACAAGTCCATCAACCTTCTCCTCTTTGCCCTTATTACTCATAGATATATCATCTTTTTTTTCCTCTACTCCAACCTTCTACTTTTCCTTCCTCTAATACTAAATAAACAAACAAATATAAATAATGTATGAAATTAAATTAAAGCAAAAAGACTATAAAAACTATATAAAAAAAATCATTTATACTTGACTAATGGTGACAAGTTTCACCATAACAAAACCAATTCCAAAAACGAGTCCATCAACCTTGACCTTTTTCTTGCTCTTGTTACTCACGGACATATCATTATTTTATTTCCTCTTGTTAGAGGAAACAACTCTAACCTTCTGTTTTCTCTTCCTTTAATACCAAATAAACAAATAAATATAAATAATGCTTGAAATTAAATTAAAGTAAAAAGACTCGTAAAACTAAAAAAATAATTATTTATACCGACCAATGGTGATAGGTTCCACCATAATAGAAGTAATTCCATAAACAAGTCCATCAATCTTCTCCTTCTCCTTGCCCTTGTTACTCATATACATATCCTCATTCCTTTTGCTCTTATTAAATGAAACAACTCCAACCTTTTGCTTTTCCTCCCTTTGATACCAAATAAATAAACAAATATAAAAATGCATGATAATTAAATTGAAGCAAAAAGAATATAAAAATAAGTAAAAATAATCATTTTTACTCGATCATTTGTGACGAGTTCTATCATAACGAAGCAAAGTCCGAAACATGTTGAATCGGACCTTGTTCAACCTCAACATTAGCCGATTTAGTAGGTCTAGTACCACCGTCGTTAACCTTCATATAAGTGTGAAAAATGTAAATAAAAAAAATAGAAACACAAATACAAATAGGTTCTATAATTAAAAATACTAACTTTCTTATTCTTAAGATTCTCGGGACATGTAGACCTATTGTGTCCTTTCTTAAAACAAATTTTACAAGTCATCCTCCTTCCTCTTCTTGACATTTTAGTTCCACTATGTGATTTCTATGATTCTAAATGTCTCTTCTTCTTTTTCTTTACAAGTTATTTCACTATCTTTGGAGGTAGTACCTCGTTTTTTATGTTTTAAGCCAAAATTTATCACCATTTGTTGGCTCAATTGAATTTTGGCATGCAGATAATAACATGTTCTTAGAATACCAATGGACAAGATAATTATCAAAATTTCACTTTCTAACTACACAAACAAGTTATAGCATATGGTCATAGTATATCATTCATCTCAAACAACCTATATGTATATGTTTTCCTCTCTATATATACTATATATTTATCATTGAAATTGTATATATTTATAGCATCATGCCCATCATCACCATTATGCAATACTCTAAAATTTAAACTTAGATCTCTAAATTCTTCTATCTTTTTCCAAATCTTAAGCCCAAAATTTTCCTTATACCTAAATACAAACAATCTCCTAGTAATAGTTCCTTTCATAAAAAGAATTCTAATCTTCTCCAAGAAAGACAATACTTTTGTGTCTTACTTGTAAAATAAATCCATTTTATGTTTCACACAAGTTGTTGTCAATTACCTTATGTTTAACATGTGTTTAAAAGTAAGCCTTACACCATTTTTGTAAACACTCTTTCATGAAATGTTTAAGTGCTCGCCTTGTTATACTTCCCTAACTCGCTCAAGATTCTCTTCTAAACTTGGTATGGTACTTGATCCGGCATATACCCAAAATTGCTTTTCAATATCTTCACCATTATGTGCCTTCCTCCATTTAGCAAAAATATATCTAGCACATCACTTATCTTATACTCTAAGTACTAATTCCTCTAGAGCATCACATAATCTCTATGCATGTACATAATTAATTAAATTAGGAAGAGTAAATGAAATTGAAGAAATACCAATAAACAAGGTATATTTACTAACCTTTTGCCTATATGTTGTGAAAGTCCATCCATATCCATTTTCATATGGAACCCCTACATCTTTCATCAAAAGTTGGATGAAGCATATCCGAGTTATCTTTATTTTCTCACTTCACAATAACCCAACACAAAGAATACATTTGATTGTTTACATCCCTACAAACAACTAACAACACTTTTCTTTTCAATGGACCTTTTAAGAATGGACCATCTAACCCTATA